AGTAGTTAATTAACTAATTTGGAAGCACTAGACAGGTGTTTCGTCCTAGTGCGGGTTTCCTCAGTATTGCTCATCCCGATCCCACAACAAAGGGACTTAAACCAAGGACCTCTCGTTCTCGCATGCGAACGTTTAACCTTTAGACCACTGAGGTGGCCATCGACCAACGGTGTTAATGTCTGACTTCAATCGATCCACGATTCAGGAGTCTGTAGGTAACTAATCAACAATAACAGATTGAATTAGGAGAGTATGCGCCATAAAATTCATTTTTATTGTAGCACGTGGAGTTTTGATTTTAATTCCTTTTGGTATTTTGTGGGTGTGCATTGTTGAAAAATCTTAAATATAAAACAAATAGTAATTCACTGCTTAATGGTCTTCAAATGTTTATCAGCCAATATTAATCCGTACTGATTGATATATCATTTAATGAAAATCGTAAAATTTTAGAACACTTCATAATCAGTTATGTGTTTTACTTCTCTTTTTTAATTTCCACATAGTTTTTGTTCTAAGATTTGTCTTTTTTTCTGTGTGGAGACTATTGTCTGATCTCAAATCAGACTTGTAATCAGTTGATAACCACAAAAAAGAATTATTAACTTTTGTCTAAGTAACAATTATATTATCTAGTTGCATAACTTTTGAAGCCTCCACATGTTTTTATAAGTATACGGTACATAAATCGATAAATCAGAAAACGTTCACCATACACCACTTATAAACATCCTTGTGAGTAGCGTCCACTACAGTGCGACAAAGTTATCAATTTTGTGTGATGTTTCGTTCTTTGAGTTGGATGGTTTGATTAAGAAGCTTTAATTGTCATTACCAGCTTTGTTTTACTTTAACTGTAATGCTGATGTAACTCTGTAAATAAACACTTGTTCACAAACTTGACTTTGAGGTACTGTATATGTGAATAACACTTAGTTATACTATTCGACTATTCATATCAAATTGTGTGAAACATATTACGAAATGGCAACCCAACTTGACGAATACGATTTTCACATAGCTTACTGTAGTCTGAAAGCCTAAAAGTTGGTATCTAGCATGAGGCACTGAATTCCGTGACATTTATTGTTAAAAATTTGATACTGTCTTACTGTGAAGTGAAATTTCTTATTACTCGTCTATTCAGAGAGGATTCGTTGAATAAATTCACTTTGTGAGTAATCACGTTATCGATAATGAAAAAAATCTGTTTTATTTTATACGAAGTAGACAATACTCGTAAACAAGGAAAGAACTATTCAAAAATATTATGATATGTGAATAATAATTAGTCAGTTAGTTATCTTCAATGTAGAACCTGACACGGATATGCATTGGTTCAAGTTGGCATAACATATTAATATGATGAGATGCTTGTAATAAGAGGAGTAATAAACGAGTTCAAAACATTGATGTAACAATGATAATGAGATAGACTAGTCACTAAGAATATAGTTTGAAGAGATAAAATGCAAAAGAATGTGTAAATAACATTATATTATATAATAAATAGACTTCATTTGATCTGTCATGTGAAATTCTGTATTGGAATACTTTACTATATTGTTCAGTTATTATTTTTAGTTAATATATTTAATTCATTTACTAAAATGTCACAATTTTAATGGCTATCTGACAAAAACACACACAGAATATAATTGATAAGAAATAGGGAAGGATATTTTGCTGTCAATAAAAATATTTTGAAAAGCATGTCCACACTTCATAAGGAGTTTTTTAAAGATTAATCTATGTAGCCTGGTAACTATTCCGACTGTTTTTGATCAAACGTTTGAAATTCTGTATCTCCGTCTGATTATTTCGAATTTCAGGGAATCGAATTCTGGAGAAAGCTAGAATCCTACTAGGATTCCTATTAGTTTTTTTCAAATAATGACCAAATATCCTAACAGTATAACATGGATTTATTTACTTCGTCGATTCTCCTCAGCTGCTTAAACCAAAACACTAATCATTCGAACGAAAAAAAGTGTATGTACTTTATATCGGAAACATTTTGAATACATTGAGTTAATATGTATAGAGACAGAATGATATAAAGAGACAGTATTTCAGAAGAATTAATAGTGTTCAAAAATATGTTTAATTCTACGTTAAATATAGAAATATTCTGAAAACAGAAGTTTTCGAAACTGAAGATAGATTACGTAATATAAACTAGTCGAGTAAAGCTCATAAGTAAGAATTAAGATATTAGAATTTTAATCAAAGTTTATGTGAAAGTCTTACGTAATGATCTCACAACAATGAGGTCACCAGGGTAAAACAATATTAGTAACTGTTCCTTTTTGGATATATAAACTGGGTTTGAATCTTTTTGTTGCAATGACTTCGGGAAAGAGTAGCAATTTTAAGTTCCTTTATTTGCTAATCATCTAGAAAGATTTCGAAATTTTAACCTCATTGTCATGCAAAGTTTGAGCAAGTGATTTTTTAAAAACCTGCCCGTTAAATCTCAACTTTATGGAATATAATCGGAGATGAGGACACGAACCCTCTTCTCTGTTCTTACGCCATATGTGCTTTGAAGCATACATGCAAAGTGTTAAACACAATTAGCGGTAACATAAAGCAAGTGTCTATTCTCATTTGTCTGTCTCAATGACAATTTGTTTCAGTATAAAACACTAAATTGGCCGCTAGATACGTCCATTTTAGCATTACCTTTAGTTTAAAATCAATATTTCCAGTTATTTCATCGCCTTTGAAACCGAGTTCTAAGAAGACTGGATTTTTCTGAACCATATGATATTCTAATTATTATTGTTTTGTATTTGTCTTCTAATTAGAATCATGGTAGTTTTTAAAAATGTCATTTTAACTATAAATCAGTTACTTGTTTCCACATTTTGTACAATCAGTTCCCTTTACGAAATTAAGCGAATCCAAAACAATGAAAAGTGTACAAGAGTATGAATCTACTTAAATTTGCGGTTTCACTTCAATCGCTAACAAATGTATCCCTCAAAAAGCGAAATACAGATCAAATTTAAGTAAATTCAGAACAGTACTTGAGACAAAATAATATAAATTATTCTAATTTCGTGGTTTCTACTCAGTTGTTTATAATCGTTGTTATATTGATAAATGCCATAATGTTAAATAATATACATTGGTGATTTGAAAAATTGGAATGATAATTCTTTAAATCTCTTCCAAATATTATCCAAGTCATCTTATCAAAGTTCAAGTTCCAAATCAAATACTACCTCATTCGTTTATATTATCTATATCGTTTTCGAATAACTATATTTACGATGCAATCTTTTCTATCCTTCTATGGACATATACTTCCCATTTAACTATAAATACGAATGTACAGCTTAAGTAAATAAGTTCATTGTAGAAGAAATTTTCTTCACCGAGTTCTCCTTATTTTTATTCAGTGACACAATGGGTTATTGTAATTATCTGAAGGAGAAATGTTATGAAATTTAGCATTTACTGTGGGATTTTTCAATAAAATAAAAAATGTGATATTCGACAAGCTTAATTTTCCTATGGTTATATTAAAGTTTTCAGTGATAAACTTGAATATGTCAACCGACTTTGTAAATATGTTGCTATATGTAAAATTCTTATCATCAGAAATTATCAACTGTTTTCTAATAATCATCCAATAGTACAGATTAAGAAAAGTCAAACTTGGGTTTTGTTTTTGCTAAGGTTTATTCTTATGGCATAGTTACAATCAGCCCTAATTCTGGTAATTACATTACTCAACACTGTGGTCGACAACTTCAAGTTCATGGTACTCTGATCAAGATTACTTTATTTTAACATCTAGCTGAGCATATTTACAATCTATTGACCAGTGAATAATGAACTATTTCATATTTGTCTAGTCCTTTTGGTGTTGACCGAATTCTATCGATTAAATTGTAGTATGGTTACCAGTCTAAATGAGTTAATATTGCGTACGCCATAACGAGATATTAGTTGGTTGAACATAGCCATCGGAAAAATCTATTTAGAACTCGTCAGTAAGATGTGCATGTAATCTTCAAAAGACTGATGCTACCTGGTGGTTTACGATCTCATGCTACTCGATTTCATAGTCTGAGACATAACTAGTGAATCGTCGGGGCTGCAACAAATCTCTTGAGGGATCAATTTATTTGTAGGTGATTGATAATTAAGCAGTGACCCATTTAATATCTGCCTAGTCCAGCAGGAATTACCAGTTCCATTAAGATTACAGGCACATCTTACAAACTTGGGATAAAGAACACAAAACCTAAGTTTATAGTTTCCTGTCGACTACTCTTAACTACCTTAGAAATGAGTTTATTAGGTTAAGTTTTCTGTTACTTGACAATATATATTTTATGCCAAATAAAATGCTCTGGAGTGTTCACTTACTAGGAATAATTGTAACGTGGTAGATCAATTCAATGAAGTCCTCTGTGATCCGGGAAGAGTAAACAAAATAACATCGTTCATTTATTGATGGTTATAGTAACACAAGCTTATCGTGTCAATAAGACAGATATTGATTTTCAGTTTAACACATATTATAATGAAATAATTTATCAACGAAAGTTACGTTCTCATAGATTCGTTATTTAATTACTCCCGTTTGTCTGTTATAATCTGTGAATAAAATGTAGATGGTGAAGTAGTTTTCATCAGGTAAACATTCTTTTATCATCATTATTAGCTATAATAAAGCATATTTTCCATTTGTTTACGTTCAAGACAAAAAATAATATATTTCCATTGGAAATATTTATCATTTCAAGGGATGCTTCCATTATTTAGAATACAAGGAAACAATGGAGGCAGTGTGAAAGAATTCATTCACTTCGGATTAATGTTTATTTGCATATTTTGGTAGAATATAAAAGTTCCATGTAAAACTACTTAAAGTAATTTAACAGAGGAATGAGTTTCCGATTAATCATATCATAACAAGTGTTAATCATTTTTAACAAATAATTTAATAGATTGATTTCTTTTACTTTCTCTTGAAATTTCAGACGACATGTTACCATCAAAGGAGCACCTGAACTTATAGATGAAAAATTTTTTGCATGGGAAAATCGAGTAAATCAGATTTTAAAATCATGTGCAGTTATCGGGCCCAAACGATGCACAACAATCAAATATGAATCATTGGTACTCAGACCGAGAGAAGTTCTGGGTGAACTGTTTGGTAAGAGATACACATATATATATCGTCGTATACAAATCATCAAGATAATTATCATTTTCACTTTTCGCTAGAATGTTTCTAAAAGACAGTGATGCTTAACTTAAGGCCAAAGTTATTTCAAGTACCATACACGGAAGTAGACCATTATCATTTGAGATGCTTTGCTAAAGAGAAGAAAGGTAGAAATCAACAACTTCACAACTTTGGGATGCATAACATTTAATAGAGCAACGTCAGTCGAACAATATTTCACTGGCTCATCGACTGTCCTCATTTACATCGAGTGGATTTTTAGGCCTTGATATATCGTTGAATCTGTGGCCCACCATGATTATTATGAAAAAGCGTTTTTAGATATACTGATTCTACTTAGTTGAATTACATGCAAATTTTACCACTGAAAAAAAGCACTAAAGTTTGATCAATTAACTTAGCAAAATAACAGTAAGTCATTGAATTTCATAGTTTCTCATCAGCTGCTTACAGCCTAAGCATGATAGTATTATTCATTGGAAATCTGCTTACATACTTCATATCGTGACATCGTAAAAATGCTCGTTATTGAGCGAAATTCCTAAAAGAGCAAAAAGTATAGATAATTTGTAAGTGATATTTAGTTGCTAAGTAAAGATCTTGAAGATAATTAATAAACAAATAGTTTCAAATTTACTACGTTCTGATGAAGCGATTGCCATATAAATATACAGAACAAATCTTTGCACACAAAATATTCAGTCGCCAAACTTGCTTTGTTATGATGACCTTATTCATATATGTTTGTTATTGGATTCTTCTCTTGACAATAATTATTACCTCACTTCTTATCTGATCTGTACTCAGTTAATCGATTTTGTTTTAAGGGTTAAATAAATATGACACATATATCTCATACTTTAATATTTCTGTTTATGTGTTCTTCGTTGTTCGTTATAGAATATTCTTACATTCAACCTATAAATATTCACATTATGTAACGTCGTCATCTCTTACAGTTCTTCCTTAGTTGTCGTCCTTTTCAATAAACCTTATTATTCAGAACATTTCTGACAAAGTATGTACATTGATTTCTGATGATTAATACTACTGTGTTTAGTTCATATGCAAATGATAAGAATGCGCGAAGTCAACCTGTCGTTTCATATGAGTTGTCTGTTCTTCGCCTTACGGTTTCATCGACATCTTTAAATGTATTGATAAATCGAAATATTGAACTAAAGAATGTCATATTTCTATTCCATCATACAACCTATAACAAGACCAAATTAATAACATATATTAGAAATTCAATTGTTGAAATCAGTTTTACTTTATGCAGTGCAGAACTCAGACATCTTTTAATTAGGGACCAATCCGCATATATACGTGGACATAACTAATCATATTTTTTCATCCATTAAATCTATTTCGAAATGCATGAGAATGATTTGAAATCCATAATCACGTAGCAAGTTAGAATGTGATCGTCACTGACTTCAGTTCATTTACGAAATATAAGGAATATTCAGCAATAAAAATATGCTCAGTGTTGCGATTTCCGTAAATCGTACATCCGTACTTAGAGGTGATTTCTTACACATGGTAATGTTCAGTAAAATAGAGGGATGTGTCATCATTTAATAACTTAGTGTACACTAACCGACCTTGGATTCGTAAATGTGTCAAGGACAAGCATAACATTTGACGAAATCAATATGCATATACAATTTACTCTCTCTTGTGGAGGAGGCTACACTGGTAGCATAAACAGGACTTTTTATGAACACATCTCCTAGTGTTATCCTAATCGTCTATCAAACTAATGAGACGGTCGATAGATGAGCTCCAGAGATTGTTGTAAATTCTGACCAAGTTGCTCTACTAATATCATCCTTCACAGTCACCCATGTGCTCAAATGAATTGGTTTAAGGATGAGTCGATTTGAGAATCTATGCAACACAGAGGTTTTAGAAATTTCTCGGTTTCGTATCAAGTATTATGTACAGAAGAAAGACGTTTGATTTTCCATTGTTCTATGAACTCAACATATCTTCCTTCCTCCCATATTCGACAACCAGCTGTTATCACATTTCTTCTAACTTCTCAGTTTCCTTATTGATTCAGTCAGTTGTTTATTCTCATTGAACCATTCTTCATATACACACGTAGACAGTTAACGTCTACGTTTCTCCCATAAATTATGATTTCACATTATCTGTAAGAATTTTATACTAATGTCCAACCAAAACATGAAAACATCTGATAAATTTTGGTGATTTTTTAAGTAATGCGACACCTCTCCATTTTATCAATGATATTATGCATGTAAAAATCACCTGTGGATGTGATTGTTCAACTTGAATATAAGGAATTGTCGAAAGAGGTATTTTCTTTGACGAATACGTTCTCTCGAATAAATCCATGAATTACTTTGTTGTTCCATTTTCGGCAATTACGTATGCATTTGAGGAACGAAGCTCTCATGTGATCAAAGCACATTAAGAACTGTCCCAACAACTGATACTGACATTGACATAAAGTATTAAGTTGACTGCAGTCATGAATTCTATCTTCGATTATTACTCTTTAAATCTATCGAAAACAATCAACTTTCATTTCTAATTTGTTATTGAATCATGTTTACAGTGGTATAACTTTGAGTGATAAATACAAATGAATAAAATAAACGGTGTGAAATATCAACCAACTTGTGTTGAAAAATCGATAACTGAAAATAGTTTCGTAAAATGTGAGATAAAATATTTTGCACTCTAATTAACATCAGTAAATTTATTCACAATATCAATACTTCCAGGTATATTGAGCACCTCCAAAATGAACAGAACACATTCAGTTTATGATAACCTTAAACCACATTTAAATTATAACTGTGTTATCCTGTCATTTGTATATGTCTGTTTCTGTAGAATTTCTCGGATTACCATGGGATCCAATCGTTCTTCACCATCAAACGGCTATGAGTCAAAGCTCTCTAAGCAAGTAAGTCGCGAGGATAATGAATTCCTTTACATGTGATTATCAATTGACACAACCTAATAAACTGACCACCGAGGTTCCGATCAGCTTTTAAAGAAATTAAAAAACACCACATTATTCACAACATAGTGGTCAGTTAATTGTGAATATCTTGATCTCACATTATTTCAATAGCTATTAAAATTATTCGGTGACAATGTCTAAGATGGTGTAACTTGATGACGATCATTTGAAATTTATAGGAAGCATCGATCTCCTCATGATAACAGCTAAGTTTGAGTACTGGCGTCGACTAGTACGAAATCTAGATCGAGAGTTTCCTGTCAAGAATTTCCAATTACCTGACAAATGCACTAAACCCATACATCTCATTTACAGGTACATCACTGCTAGTTGCAACATCATAAGAGTGGAAATTTTAAATCTCTGAAAAAACGTGATCTACAGAGTTTTTGATGGAGACACTGTTGTCCATTAGTTTGTCAGTTAAATTCATCCGACATGACGAAATTCACACCTTCTCAATTAACCACTTTTCTTGTTATACATACACACAGACTCGAACCGAGTACTTCACAGGTTGTTCATCCAATACACTTGGCTTCACTAACTTCATGGGCTTCAAGTAATTCAGTGTTACCCGAATCTTTCATCTCATCAATACACCGAGAAAGTGATATACTGAAAACACTTGGTTACGCTGATTTGGGTGTACCACCACATTACGGTACTCCAGAAAACCAGGTGGTCAATATAACTAGTTACCTTATCAATGATCCACAATTTAGACAGATATTCTAACTTCATATTTCCCATGTGATAATTTACTTTTGTTGTCAACATTGTTTTGTGTAAATTGTGTGATACTTGTAAGTTATCTGTGCGTATTGTTCTCAAGTCGTTTGTTGTTAGGAAATTTGAGAAGTGTATTTCTAGTTATTGTGAAATGTTAACATTTCTATTTTCTTGTTAATGAGGTATAGATTTCAAGTGTTAATTATTTTTAACTGTTATGGTTGTTAGTGATGGTGATGGTAGTGGTGACATTTTGTATTGTAATAGTTTTCTACTTTGTATTTTTTTAAACTTCATATTCGTGTAACTTCATAGTTCTAACTTCGTTACCATAATAATAAAAATGACAATGATGATGATGGTGATTGTGAGATTTGTGGAACTTCTCCTTTTCTCTCTCTCTCTCTCTTTCTCCCTTGATGAATATTCAACCAACATATCTTTATTTGTGATTATGGTTTTTACTGTTTTTATGTTGACTTTGTTTTATTTTTATATACATACTATCTGGGATAACAAGAAATTGTTTGTTTTCTTTTTTTTGAATAATAATTTTTAATTCTATTTTATTGTTATAAAAAAATACAGTTTGATTTATGAGTGATATAATGTATGAGTACAATTTCAATGTATTAGCCAATTCATATTTTGTAATTTTGAAAGCTCATTTATAATTGAATAAATATTTTTAATTATTTAGTGTTTTATTTTTAACTGTTTTGAATGAAGAGGAGTGTTTTGAAATGTTCAGAATTTAAATATTCGAACTATTGAACTCTTTGTTGTTGTTCAAATTAAATTAACAGTTACTTTCCTCAACGATCGATAATATTAATGAAACTTCTAAGTAATTATTTAGTGTTTTCAATGGTTAAGATCACGAGTTAGTTGAAGCTAAACCATCATGGAAAACCTGGAAGCACTGGATGGCCGTTTCGTTTTATTGTTTTTGGTTTCGCGCGCGTCGTCCAGTGCTTCCGGTTTTCCATGGTGGTCTACCTTCAACTGACTCATGATTTTAACCATTAAAATTACTATAATATCCATAAAACCCATCTGATATTAATTATTTAGTACATGAAATTTCACACTTTATAGTTTTCAATAGTTATTGGATTATATGTAATGATTATAATCATTTTACATCTGGATCGAAATATGTTAATAATCATTAGTAGTAAGTTATTTGTTTAAGTACACTTGGAAAATGTATCATAATAGCTATTCTTACATTCAAGTGTTTGAATGTACAAATAATATTGTTCTTTTTAGAAATAACTTATTTCTTATTGAGGAAAGCATACAAATGTTACTCTACTGAAATTCATTTAATCCCTTGTTTTTTGTACTACTTCGTTTATACTTAAAAGTCATTATAAGTAATGTTGTTTTGTTTACATAACGTAAACTACCTTTATATCATAGAGGAGTATCCAACAAGTGATTTTCAACTTTTACGTAAGGATGGTACACTACACATAGACCAGTAGTTTTCAATAATAAAGTCACTGAAAATGCGCAACTTTATCTGCAATGTTCATATAATTTTTTACGAAGTCGAATTGATCAATCTGAAGATGAACTGTAATAAATGTTATTTGGTTTATGCATCAACCGAGTAGAAATTTATTACAAAGTTTATGAATGGAATTTGGTCATAATGTTTTTTTGTAAATGATCAGTATTTTAATTAACATTGAGTGCTTTTGGATAATTTCACTATGGGTGTTTGAGGGAAGACTTGTTCAACATCAAAGCTTAACTGTTTTAGAAGTAAAACTTAGTAACTTTTTTATTTTATATAATTTGGTAAAATATTTTATTTCATCGATCTTATGAAATTTTAAACAAATCGGCGTTCGCGCGCAAGACTGAAGGCTCTGGGTTCGAATCTCGTGGGCGAGATCGTGATTGTGCACTACTGAGGAGTCCCACAATAGGACGAAACGGCCGTCCAGTGCTTTCAGGTTTTCAGTGGTGGTCTTACATCAATCGGTTCGTGATCTTAATAAACAAAATCAATTAGTATTTTGATAACCCAGTGACCTTCGATATAACTGAACACAACATTCTACTGCTTAATGGCTAGCTGAAATTCTACACTTAATCAAAAATCAGCTCAATAGATACATCAACGTTAAAAAATATGGGTTGATTGATTAAATACCTAATGTTAATGAAGCTGAAAAAAATGATTTTGCTAGGAAGGGCCAGGACAGAGTGGGTTGGAGAATGCTGGTCAGTGACCTATAGCTCCACTAGGAGTAACAGGCGTAAGTAAGGTACTAACTCTTCTTTCTACAAATTTTTCTCGCAGAAACAGTCTGTTTTTTCATATCACTATGTTGAAAACACTATCTTCCATATTTGTACTATGAGATATCTGAAAAAATTACTTTTTTGGTTTCTTCCTAACATCCACTATAAATTTAGTCTTGAGTTTTGCGGAAAAACGGATAATAGTGACGGGGTCTGTATTCGATTATAATACTGAAAACCTCGATTTGAATACAAACTATTGTCTTTCACGTACAGAAGGTCTGATTATTGCTGATTACTCATTTGAACGACATAACATACCTTTGTTGTTACAAATGACCGTTTTTTTAAAAAAATTAACTATAAATACAATTATACAGCATTAAAGAATGATTTTGTCGAAAACAGAGTTTTCTTGGCTGAATTATTTTTAATTTTCCTTTAATATGTAATTGATTATTCTGAACTAAACATATGGAAAGTAAACGTATTAATTAAATACTAAACAAAATCTTTATTAAATTCACTTGGTATTGTTTATTTGAATTTGCCCATTGATGTTTAGGACTGTAATCGATCAGTCTCTTGTTGGTATATGTACATACTGTGCGTATTGCCTCGATATTGCCTTAATTCACAAGCATTATAAGCAAAGATGGTTAGTGGCTAGCAGTGGAATCCAGGCCTCGCGTTTCGTCCTATTTGGCTATCACGATTCAGTAGCTAAGTGCATAATGCGATGGCGTTTTAAGCGAACGGTACTGGGTCCGAGTCCCAGAGTGAACATCAAATCTGTGATGCAGGTATATGGAGCTGATGAGTCCCAAAGAGGACGAAACGCGCGTCCTGGATTCCACTGCTAGCCACAATCCATCTTTGCTCAAAATCTTTATTGTTTTTACATACAATGAATTGATTTTTCAAAACTCTCAAATGCATTGAAAATCCAAATCATTAAGAACAGAAGTGAACCCTTGAGTTAAGTGGAGAAGAAGCTGAATGTATGTGTTTCAAATATTCTATGAGGGTTAAACTTGGTACTTATGAACTAAAGAGTTTAAACAAAGGAGATTTAAAACATACATTTTTAAAATGTCTATATAATTAACAACTACAAAAAAATATTTATGTTAGGGGGATCTAGAAAACTCATTGAAAACGCTGAAAAGCATCTTATCCAATCAGTATTCAGTAGGAGTTTTACCAGAAATATCTAGAAAGTGAAAAGTCACATGTCGGGTTTCTGATTGGATGATTACCTATAGTGCCATTATGTTTAGTAGCGTTCCAGAAATTTCTGGAAACCCAAGGCAATCCAAAATATTATAAAATTTGTAAATTTTTTGTACATAAACGAACCTTTGGAGTAAAGCGTTTCTTGCATATTTCGCGCCTTTTCTTTCGTGTTCAAGTCGCTGTGTAGATTTAGCCTGGGGGTTAGTGGAAGAACATAGCGACCAAATCAAGCATTCAATTAGATAACTTATCAATTTATAGAATTTGAATAATTAAATGCCAATTCCTACCAAATTCATTGTACTGATATAAATAAAATTATGTAGTATAACTTACATTATTAAATGACATCACATAAAACAAGTTCGACAATTAAGAACCATAAACATACAACTGGTTATTTAGTGACATTCTCCGCTTAACCAAATTCTAATAGATGAGATTGTTTCAGATAAGTTAATAATTTCAGTTCTTTACTATTATTTTTTATTATTCTTAGCTTTATTCAATATTATATTTTTGGTACAATATAGAACCCTCAGCACAAAATATTCTAACAAGTATCCTTTCCTTATTTTTTCATCTATCCTGACGATAAATACTGAGTGATCGTCATTTACATGTGAGCAGTTCACGAATCGACATCTGAATGATGTAATTTCTTTTTGATGCATACTGCCAGCAACCACGATTTCTCTGATTCGGCTTTTTTATAACTTGTACAGCGAAATGTCGTATAAGTTCTATAAACGCAACTGAATAGGTTATGCAAATAAAAGACACTATGATGTGTTAAAACAAACAGAAAAAACAGATAACTTCTTGAAATATCTAGATGGAAAGGAACAGGTAACTTAGATACTCAAGCAGGCCGCCAAATGGAGCTATAATCTTAAGAACTATGTTTTCAAAAATTTATTATAGTTGTGTATAGGTGTTCTGGGTTATATATGTATTTTTAGCTTCGTTGTCAATTACGATTCTAACATTCTGCTTAAACATCATAAAATAATAGTTTAGTAGCAGTGATAATGAAAAAGACTAAGCACTGAAAACACGGTTCAAAAAACAGGAAGGAAAAGTATGTATCTATGAGTACTGAAGCTATTGGTGTAAAACAAGACAGAGTGGATGCGTCTGAGGAGTTGTGGTTGGGTCTGAGATACAGATAAAGTCTACTACAATTATTGATCATGTGTTTATTATTATTATTAATGGCTTTATTCAATATTATGTTTTGGTACAATATAGAATTCTCAGCACAAGGTATTTCAACAGGTTTCTTTTACGAAATAAACAAAAACGAAGACAAAAAAGAAAGGAAGAAAGGTTAAAAAAATCTGAAAACCTGTACAACCTCCCAAATTCAAGACTTGTTAAGAATGCAGGTTATTGACTAGGTTAACTCTAACAACTTGTTCATCACATAATATATCTGCTAGGTAAGATATTATGGAACTTTTATACTTTTGCTTGTAAATTGTGGAACAATAAACATTTGATCTACAAAG